AAAAGTGAGATATTAGTCGAAGCAGAGTCATGGGTTTCATTTTTTAAATTCAAAGTGCACATGTTGAAGGTAAAATAGAACATGATGGGGGTGTTCTGCACTTGTGATCATACCATGTTGGTCATTGTTTGCTCGTTCTCCTTTTGCATCCGAGTTTGTATGCAAGCATTGACCCGCCTAGCAAACTTGTGTAGGTTCTGGGTCCCCTTGACAAACCCTTTCTTTAGCACGTGGTTCATGCTCTCGCTTCATTGTGTGGAAGTCATTCTAGCACAGAAAATGTTCTTGTAATATGCTGAAATCCACATCTTCCTATCACTCCAGAGCTGCATCATCATTTGGTCGTTCTCCAGGTTGTAGTTGTGCACGAGTTTAGCCCAGGCATCTTCAAACTCCGTTGGCATCAGCGGCCAGTTTAATATAGTTGTGAACTCCTCTTTGAATGTTTTATACTTTTTGTACAGCAACGTGAGGTATTCCCTGTACTTCTTCATGATGTGCCAACGGCATAGCTTGAGGACGGTGTTTGAAAATGATTGTGGTATAGCTTTCGCCATCGATGGGCATTGGTCTGCATGAATTAAAAAAATGAAACTTGATTCTTTTTTTGTACTGATGCTGTACTTATGTTGTGCAAGTACTTGAACTACACATCTTGGCAGTATGGTATCTAAGAATGTCACATGTATTTTTTCTTTACAGCAGCATTGCTGAACTTCTTTGGTATCAGTGCTTGAACTTCACAGTTAGTAGTAGGACAAACTAGTAGTGTCGCAATCAAAATTTTTCTTCAAGCATTGTTGTTGAACTTCTGTGGTGGCAGTGCTTGAACTTCACGTGAATAACTATATTTTTCTAAACATGCTACATATATTTATCTTATAGATTTGTCCTTGAACTTCTATGATTCATGTATTTGAACTTCACATTCATAACTAATTTTTTTCTAAATATGGGACAGATAATTTTGCTTTCTTGTACTGCTAGTTGGACTTCTGTGCTTACAGTGATTGAACTGCATTCTTTACATTATTTTCAGACAAAACCAATGTACCCAACCAACACAGACCCATAGACTGAAAATATGATGAAACTTGAGGAGTTTATTTTGAACTCACCTGTTAGAATGCAATTTGGGTGCTTGTTGTTCATGCACCGTAGAAATGTATCGAACAACCACTTGAATGACTTTGCACCTTCGTCTCTTATCAGGGCAACAACAAATATCGTTGACTGCAAGTGATGGTTTGTTCCAACAAACACTCCCAGGGGCATATGAATTTTTTTGGTCTTGTAAGTCGTGTCGAATGTTACGCAATCGCCGAAGTCTTGATAGGCTCCTCGGCAGCTTGCATTGGACCAGAAAATGTTTTTAATTGACTTGTCCTTGTCCACTTGGATGTCATAGAAAAACTCATCATTTATTGCCTTCATGTCTTTGAAGAATGAAACAAGTTTCAATACATCATCCAAATCATCTTTCCTTGCATTCATGGCTTTCCTGCAAATCACATGCAAACATGCATTTTTTTATTTTTGCTAGCAAAGGGTTGTGAGCTAGGATGCTATTTTACATTGCAATATGTGGGTGTTTGAATACTTACTAGTTTAGCAGGTCTCGTCCGGTCATGCTTAGGAAGTAGCTTCCATCTTCATTTTCAGATAGCATGGACATGATTGTTGTGTGCTTGACATCATGGTACTGCAGGAGCTTTACGTACTCCAAAATAGTGGGGTCATAATTCTTGTGTGAGTGCAAAAATACCAGCATGTCATCAATTTGCATGAGCTCGTGATTATGATTGTACTCAATGTCCACTTCCACACATGTGCCATCCTCCTGCACCTTCACCCTCATTCTTGCATTGCAGCCCGTCCTCTGCGATGCTTTGTTTCGCTTCCTGTTGGCCTCTGAAACAGAAGATGTGTGTATCCCTTGGAAGGCGCAAACAAAATACTTGTGGTTGTCATTTCCACCCGTCCTCCTGATTCCAAAACCAGCGTGTCTGGCGTATCGACTATAAAATTCCCTTGCTTTCTCTACATCTTTGAATCGCATCTTTAGTCTTGGTATTAGATAATCCGGTAGATCTGGCGTCTGCAGAAAAAGAAAAAATAATCCAAACAGCACCTTAAAATGCAGTTTATGAACTTGTTATCCTAGAGGGAGCAGAAAATGTACAGATAATACAAGATGCGTATATAAATATTTTTTGTTTCACTTACGTGTGTGTATGATCGCAACTCCTCCGGTGTCGGCTGCTGTCCCTCTGGGATGGGGCATGGCGGAGTAATCATAGCAGGATGCAGCAGTGGATCACGAGGAGGAAGGAGGGCTGAAGATGGCCTCTCTCTTGTTTGCGTCCTTTTTGCTTGAGGTGGTTATGGAGGTATTGCGATCCTGGTCTTGGTTTGCTCTTTTGTTTTGTGAAGCAATCCATCTACCTTATGCCCCATAGAATTCTGACTTGTAGCAGCAGCAGCAGGATCAAACAGTGGTAGTGTGCAGATCACTCTCCTCCGTGTGTGTGTTGCTGTTGGATTTGTCCTGGGATCCGGTTTAGTTGCTTCGCTTTGGCATTGATGAGGCACACCAGGATAACCTCCAGAGTTACACGCAGGACTTGAGCTAACCCCCTCCTCCATCGGCGTGCTTGGGAGTCTACTGGTGGATACAAATAATCCGCGGGGAATTTCCGGCGTCACCCAATTAGGTGGAGGCGCAAACCTGTGCGGATAGGGCTGTGACCCAGCATCTTGGAAGTATCCGTGTGTTTCGGGTGTCATCCATTTTTGGTCTGGAGCAGGTTGGTAATGCTGTTGGTGCGTTTGAGGTGTGACCCATTGAGGGGGTGGTGCAACGCGTACAAGCTTTGGATTGTGTACTTGCTGCTGGGAACTTCTAAGCTTCTTCATGCGTCTCTCGTCTTGCTGACATAAAAGAAAAAAATGTCTATTAGCACACAAGTTATATCTGCATATACCTTTGTAACTGAACTTAGCATTATTCACAGCCTGAACTTCTCATATAAAAGTGGTGAGAGTCATCACACTATGCACTGAGCTGAGCATCTGCCAATGCCTTTGTACCTGAACTGAGCACCCTTCACAGAATGAACTTCACATCATGTTTTTTAATTCTACAATATTTGATTACTTATATGTACCTGAACTGAGCACTCTCCACAACCTGAACTTCTTGTTTTGCAAAGGAGAAATATTGTCTACAGTTAAAAAACCTGAACCTTCATGAGTTTTTGAATGGTTGGACTGCTAGTGCATACCAACCCGACCTTCATGTCATATCACATGCATGTTCTATTTTCCTTTTATTTTTTTGCACAGAACCAGACACATACCAACCTGAACTCTAGCACACTTACTAGTTGAACTTCACATGGCTTTTGCACATGTGAATGTGAATGTAGGAAGATTATATAGTGTTTGTAGCCTGGACTGAGGCTCACATACTACCTGAACTTCACATGCCTATAAGCAGGCAGGCAGATTTTACAATGCTATTTTGTAGCCTGGACTAAGGCGCATACACTACCAGAACTTCACATGGTTGTAAGCAGGCAGGCAGATTTTAAAAAAGCTTTTGTAGCCTGGACTGATGCTCACACACCACCTGAACTTCACATAGCTGTAAGCAAATAACAAACCGAAGGAAGGAGGAAGTTCAACCATACCCTGGCTAGAAGGTCAGCCAACCTTTTTCCAGCAGCTGATAGGCCACCTTGAGAACAATTCGTCGTGGAGGTATGAGAGGAATTCGATGGCAATCCATGTCTTGCAGAGGGCGCGAAATTCATCTGCACGAAGCAAGAAGGTCAGAGAAGGCAAGATTGAAGAAGAATGCAAAATTGGGAGGAAGTTCATGTACTGTTGTTGCTGAATTTGAGGTCGCAGTAGATGCCGCCTCCGCGGAGGAGTTGCTCCGTTGGTCGCGCCGCTCGCCGTAGCTTGCGTCGTGCCGGTCATCTGGTCTGCCAAGGCTTCGGGCGGTGGCGATGGGACGAGGATGCGGCTTCCTGAAGTCCATGGCGGCTTCGCCGCGTCCAGGCGACGCGGGCTCCCTCGCGCCGGCATCCGCCGTCGCTCGCTCGCCCGCGCCGGTGGCCGGCCAGGAGCTGGAGACGGAGGGGAGGCGGAGGACCCGACCGGCCAGGAGCCGGGGAAGGAGGGGAGGCGGCGGATCCGGCCGGCCAGGAGCTGTAGACGGGGCGGGGGAGGCGGCGGATCCGGTGAAGATGGGCGGCGAGGAGGGGAGGAGATCGGGGATCGAGGGGAGG